TGCGATGGGGATGCTAATATGACATATGCGAGGTAAAAACATCAGCCCACCATTTAGAGTCACTTCTTGAAGAACTGGGTCTAAATAAATAAATTTCTATCGTGAGACATATTCGCCTCATTGTTTCAAAGCTCACTCATCAGCCCTAAATATAACCTTTAGAGACATAAATGTTTAACATGTTATACGATTATTAATATGTAGAAAATATATAGTGCAGCCGATTGTAATTGCAAATCCATGTCTCCTTAATCGCCACTCCCATAAAAATGTGATTTAAATCAGGCCCTGCTTAACTTGAATATACTTCTATCATGTGGTCCATTGTCAGCCATGGCTGTAGAGTTAAGTAATAAAGTTAAGATGATACTCATGCTGATGAGACCTATGAGAGGTCGAAAATGCAGTCCACATTTTATAAGACGAACTTTTGAGTGCATAAGCTAATTAAACTTCAAGGGCATAGTGAAGGCTACTTAAATAATTTTGTGAAAATTCAACTGTCAGTGCTTGAATCCCCTTAAGCTATCTATCGTGATTAGTTTCAAGTACGGGTATTTCACAAATGCAAAAAACACATCCCCTTATTTCAAAGCTTTTCGAACTTTAGCTTACTTTCAATATGTATTTTACTCAAATAATTTTTGTTTCAGGTATTTTTTAACAATTTAAAATACTGTACATATTTTTTAAAAATATTGTTAAAAAAGTATTGTTAATTACATTGTCATCACTCAAATATCTCCGCACAGTCTGAATTTAATCCTATCTCATGTCTTCCGACATCCCTGACATGCTTGTTCGTGGTCGAAGGGAATTGGTGTGTGGCGAAGTTGTAAAGGCTGTAGAGACATTCCAAATTGTTTGCGAAAAATTGTAAGTCTTGTTTTCCTTTTTATTCTTCTTAGGGCTAAGGAGAATGGCGACCTGCATGAAAGTCTTGCTGAGCCAAATCTTCTATATGGCACTGCCCTTTTAGAACTCGCTCGTATGGAGAGCACTGTATTAGGTAACGCGCTTGAGGGTGTACCCGAAGAAGAAACTGCATGCGATGATGAAGACTTCATAGAGGAGTGCCAGCCAATGACAGGCAAGCAGTCAATTCATAATACTTTTATTTCAGAAACCGAAAAAGAGGACCTTTCAGATCAGGTCATTGATGCAATGTGTGAACCAGAAAAAGATACCGAAGAGTCTGCAGCTAAGCAAGACAGCGATACGCCTGATCAGCCTAAAGAGGAGGTTACGGCTTCCGAATCCGGTGATCAGGTTAAATGCGAAACTGAGATTAATCCTACTGCCAATGATGATCCAGATAGTGGTCTAAAGTCCGAAGAAAGTATTAACAATACAGAAGTAGATGAAAAAGTTGATGCTCAGGAAGGAAGTGAAGAAAATTCTCCAGATACTTCTAAAATTGAGGGAGATACAGAGGAAGAAGATGAAGTTGATGAGGATTCACAAAGCGAAGAAGTAACTAATCTACAGCTGGCATGGGAGTGCATAGAAGTGTCTAAACAAATTTTTGCAAAATGCGATAGCACTGAGAGTCAACTCAAGGTTGCTGATTGTCTTGAAAAACTTGCTGAAATAAGCAGGGAAAAAGAAGACTATGAAAAATCTATATCTGATCTCGAGGTAATCTATTTCATTAATAACCTTATTCTTATGTGATTGAAATTCTAATCCGCTTGTTATTAGGAGTCGCTTAGTATTCGGTTGAAGCTCCTGAAAAAGAACGACCGTCTCGTCGCTGAATCTCACTACCAAATTGGTACGACTTATGCTGTATCGGGAGACCTAGATGCTGCTCTTGATGCCTTTAAAAAGACATTATCTTGTCTTAAATCATTAGATGAGCAAACCAAGTTGAAGCTTGATGAACTGGAAAAGGAGGATAGTTCGGACAAATCTGATAAGGACGCCTTAAAAGAGACTTTATCTGATCTTGTGGATATAATTCCTGACATAGAGAACCGCATAGCAGAGATAGAAGAAGACAGGCTTGAGGAAAAAATGATTACATCTTCTAAGGATGAAGTCAAACCATCTACTCATGCTCAATCCTCTACATCTGATATTACACATCTTGTTAGAAGGAAGATAAAGCGTCCATCTTCAGATGCAGATGTCGGTTCTCATCTAAATGGTTCTTCCTTAACTAATGGCCACATCGATCTGGCCGTTGACGATACAAAAATTGATGATGAGCCATTAAAAAAAGAACCTGCAACGAAGAAAGTCAAGCTAGACGTTGAATTAATTGAAAAGCCAGACACCGTTGCCGACGAAGATGTAAATGGAAAGGTTCGAATTCTCTTTTACAAATTAATTTTACTTTTCTTTATCTAATCAACTTGTCTTTATAGGCTCTGCAAATTGGCCCTTGATGCGGTCGAAAATATCAATGCATTTATCCTTGTTGGATTTTTTAAAAGATTTTTATCGGGCTTATTATGGCCCATTGCTGATATACCACCAGATATTACATATTTATTTAATCTTGTTTTGTGCTTTATCCAGAAGATGGGTTGTCTCACAAGATTTTATTCAATTGAGAAAATTCAACAATATATATATATATATTACATTAATTATTGTGCCTTCCTAGCTTGTATATTCTTTCGCCCTTATGTTTGCTCTCCCATCCTCCCTCACCATCGTAAATAGTGAATGTATGCCTTTCGCAACGTTACATGACTGCCTTATCAATTGCTTACATATAACATCGTCTTTTTTTGTTGCATCTGTTCCCTTACTTGAGCCTGCGGCTGCGAGATGTGCTAAATGAATTGCTTTGCTCAATTCGGCCTTAATCTCTCCCTGAGTCGTGATTACACTCTCAAGGTGTCCATCCTTCCATTCAACGGTTACTTCTCTGGTCCGCTCGACTATTTCCTTTTGCACTTGGCTGAAAACTTCTCTTACGGCTATTCCCATACGACGAACATGATCAATGTAGGCCGTAGTCGGTGTATTTGGGAGTTGTATTGCCATCTCTGCGATTGTTTTAATTACTGTCTGAGTTGCCTTCAACAAAGGATCAATTTTCTCCATAGCTTTCCAACTTTGTTTGTCTTGTCGATTATTTTCACCGTCACCTGATGGTTGCTCATCGATATTTGTCTGCATTAGGGCTGAAAATAAAAATATAAAGCTTTACGTCATAAACGATCATTGTTATTCATACGCGTAACTAATCGGACCCTACGATAGGATCCCCTCATTTCCGCTTCACTACGAAGCGTTTCCTTTATCCGTACCAGACGTAATTCCCAAACGGCTTTTCTCAACCTTATCTAACATGATCATTTTATTTGCTGTCGGGTGTTATTCATCGCGTTTGTGTTGTTCATAAGACCAGTTGAATTGCCTTTGTCGTGACGTAATTACGAGTTCATTCATCCTCCAATCCCTAGCCTTTCATTTTTCTGTCGGATACGCTATCGAATTCCCTTACGCGGCCCTAAGCTTCGTCCCTGGCTTGGTGCCCGTTGCACTGATAAATAGTTTAAGTCCATTACCTTGGGCGCCATCCACGTCTCATCTCACCTATTGGTGTTTCTCATTCAATGTAATGAGAGGTTAAAATTTACCTCGACTCGTCATCATGTTGCCCTTACGCAGCTTGTTCTTTTGTGACATGGTCTTATTTATTGGAGTAGAATCACCATCTTTCAATAAGTGTGGCCAGCTTTTTAAGATGATCGTGTCTTCAAATATACCCAGGTATCTTCGTGTTGATACCTGTCCAGTCACTAAATTATCGTCTGAATTGTCAGAAAAGCCTCTTAACATTGCAATTTGACTCGGCTCTGTCACCTCGGTAATACCATGCAGTTCCATTCGTTAGTCTTTTGTTCGTATTAATGAATAGAGAAAATTTGGTAACCCAACTCGCTTGGCGCCCTGTGAATAATTCGTCAATAATTTTTTAGCTCATTTTCATCAGATTCACTTACTTCGCCTTGGTCCGCGCTTGACTTCTTCCTAAAGATAAACAGAAAGCTTGGGTTATTATAAGCTGTTCCAGAAAGTAATCTTAATGAACTAAAAACAATCCATAAGTTCTGGCGGACTGGCTTTAGTCCATTTGGGCCTTGGCTCTACTTCCATTATCACCATAAATACAGTCATTGTCGATATGTAAGCTGCTGGGGCGGCTTTTTGTCCCCTCATTATTGCAACTAACCGGTGCGAGTATGCACAGGCAAGGTATACGTTCTTGAGGCGTCTTCGGCCCTTGCGCTTAGCTTCGGAAATATTAGCCTTGTGGCTTTCCATTATTAGTGCCTGGGGTCAAAGTTTGCTCTAGGGCATCGCACCTGGACGCGGTCGGCACTACTATTATTAATCATTGTTTCTTAACATGTTGGTTAGGGTCTGTTGGGCATTTCTGAGGACCCCTCAGTTGAGTTCCCTCGAGCCGCATGTGAACCGGCCCAACTATTTAATTTTTTTCACTTTTCCCGTGGATTGCATATTAATTTCTCTTACACTAGGAGGTCGCGTCCGGGGCAGCGAGCCGTGCATGTACTTCTATCAAACCGCTATTTATCAATTCCCTCCTTATTTTACTCTGCCCTATTAGTTCTGCACGTTATTCCAATTTGCTTCTTACATGACATATATGTTATATATATATATGCCTCTTTCCTTTCAAAAGCATACTCACCGGATTTATCTAAGAAGCAGCGGATTATATCATCATAAAATACCTAATTTTGTGCTCTGAACATGCTGTATATCCTTCCCAAACCTTGGGACCTCACTTAAGCACAATATTTCCTTCCTTTGCAGCATGACGGTCCTGGTTGTATCTACAAATGCCAGGATAACATTTCTGACCCACCCTGTATAAGGTTATCAAAAATCCCTTTTCGTTAGATTTACCTATGCATTACTTCATTTGCACTGCGCCCGCAATTCATTTCTTAGAACGTGGCTACATTAAGGCGTCGTCTTACCGGCTCCATACGCCTCGACATGCGTGTCATCCTTATCGGATCACATTAATTTGGTAAGGAAACATTAAATTATTTACCATGCTACATAATTTGCTTACGCGCGTTCCAACATCCCTGCGTTAAAGTTAATCTTGCACAACTTTCTTAGCATAGGCCTTATCTTTCCAACACCAACAAATTAATTATATTTGAGGTAACAATAAAGGGCAGAGATGGATTAACGAAAGGTTTAACTGAGCCCTCATTAATTTGCAGACATTTCCACAATATTCTGCCCAAGGAAAGTTGTTAAATATTGTCGGCTGTTTCGTTCAGCGAATCGTCATGGATTTAAGCGTTTTTCGGACCGGTTTCTTGCCGAAGGCTGGTCTTTGCCTCGTGATTTGATTTTCATTGCTCGAAAACCATTGCCTATTGCCTCGCGTTTATTATCCTTCTTTGTGTAATAGTGCACAAATGAATATGTTTGAAAATGAATGCAACTGCAGCAGATAGAAATTTTATCTCGCTTAACATGCTTACTAGAAAAATCGTTTTAAATGAAGGTATCGAAGGTGAGATGGTGTCGGCTGTCTTCGTCACAGTCTCTTTTCGTTGCCTAAAAGTGGCTTGATCTCATTTTCACAACTAAGTCATGTTGTAAAGCGTACAAAGATGAGCAACTTTTATCTGGAGTCCTTTTATGTGGTAGTCATGGTGAATTCTAGCTTTTGAGTGTGGGCGTGCTACATTCCCAAACGTTTTGCAGGCATTGCCCGTGAGCCATTTCTCTGGTAGGCTTTAGCTTGGTTCTTGGTGTGACAGTGCGCATGCCT